CCTCATAATCTCATTAAGAAAAAATTCACACATCTAATTAAATGGGCATCTAAAAAGTCAGAATGCGAATATATATATGTTCAAACTCTTTTAGGTCATTTCTTAGTAACAACAAACAAAAGAACTATGTCAATTGGACCTGCTTTGATACGATAACTGCACTTGAATTTTTACAAGAAAACATTTTGTTCGCTATGGAGATTTCCAAGTTATCGGAATTCCAATGGGGGCTAACTGTACACCACTTATTGCGGACCTGTTTCTGTATTGTTTTGAGTTACAATTTATGACTAAAATCATCAAAGACACATCGAAACAACATCTGATACAAAAATTTTATAACACTTTTAGATATTTGGATGATATATTGGCTCTCAATAATGACGACTTCAGTATATATACTAAAGAGATTTATCCTGCTGAACTGACTTTAAATAAAGCTAATACTAACAATGAACACTGCCCTTTCCTTGATCTTGATATCTATATCTTTAATGGGAAGCTAAATACCAAAATTTACGATAAAATAGATGATTTTTCATTTCCTATTGTTAATTATCCATTTTTGGATGGTGACGTTACCTTGTCACCATCATATGGTGTTTATATATCTCAACTTGTTCGATTCGCTCGTGTATATAACAACGTATTTGATTTTAACGAAAGAAATCTCTATTACTGAAAAAATATTACACCAGGGTTTTCGATATCACAAACTAGTCAAAACATTTACTAAATTTTATCATCGGTACAAGGACATCATTCGTAAATATAAATCAACATGCAGACATCTTATACGTTCAGGTATTTCACATCCAATCTTTTATGGTAATATTCTATACAAGCCACAAAAATGTCTTCATTCACCTCAAAAGCTAACCAAACCTTTAAACAGTCTTATTCAAAACGGATATAGTTACGATACTGTTGTCAGGTCATTAAAGATGGCATATTTTGGAATTGATATTGATTCACTCATAGGGTCTTTGCATCGGAAATAAACACATTTATTTTAAAACCAGTTGTTAGCATGATACGGGTTATGTTCTTCTCATATATTATATGATGGTATGGTACTAAACCCCTTACGGGAGGGATTGTGCTTGATTTTCATATGATGAAGACATACTCTTTCAATCAGTTTAATTCAGGTGTTGAACTGGCATGTCAGTAACTGCTAGTAGTCCTTTATTAATATATGTATTATTGTCATTTTGCTTTGTTTTTTCTGTTACCTATTCTGACATCGGACTCGGACTTCTTTTGAACTGGGTTTTACTGTGCGTATTGCTGTGTGTTTGTTTATTCTACATTGGCTAGAGGTATAGGGGGAGGGTTGAGATCTCACAAATCATGTTTAACCCCGCCGCATTTTTGCGCCTGTCCCAAGTCAAGAGCCTCTGGCCTTTGCTAGTCTTGTATGTTTTTTTAATTTTGGTTCATTTATATGTTTCGGAGTTTAGTGTGACGTCCATTTTCACTGAACTAGTACACAGTTTTGTTTAGGGGCCAGCTGAAGCCCGCCTCCGTGTGCGGTATTTTCTCGCTGTGTTGAAGACCCATTGGTAGCCTTGGGCTGTTTTGTGATCTTTGGTCGGGTTGTTGTCTCTTTGACACATTCCGCATTTCCATTTTCAATTTTATAATATGTATTGAATATATAAGAAAGAAGTTTAATAAGACAGCAACACAATGTCAGGTCATGCATTGACAAGAATTATCAATATAGCGCGTTGAGAGTATAAGTCATCGTAACTTTTTGACAGCGGACGTGGTCGATTGGTATCGTACAGGGACCGAAGACATTGATAATTATTGAAGAAAACCCTGCCAAGTACGATTCCTATATTTGAAATTAACTTTTCATAGATAAAATAGTGTAGCGCTCGAATAAACAAAAACTTGGAAGGCTTAATCAAATACGAAGTTGAAGAGCTGTAAAAAAACCCAAATTCCAAAAAGTTGTGCCAAATACAATTTGAGTGGTTAGAAAAACCCTATTGTTTCTGTTATCTAAATATTCCATAAACAGTAAATTTACAGAAAAATTTAACGTATCAATGATAAAAAAACAAAAATACCGAACTCCATAGGAAATTCAAAACAAAAAGTTCTTTATAAAATGGCAAAATCAAAAGTTCAAACACATCTAACGAAGTGAAAACAACTGTCATTTTCCTGACTTGGTACAGGCATTTCCTTATGTAGAAAATGGTGGATTAAACCTGATTTTATAGCTAGCTAAACCTCTCACTTGTATGACAGTCGCATAGAATTCCATTATATTGACAACAATGTGTGAGCAAAACAAACAGACATGATAAGTAAAAACGTCAAAAAATCGGGGTACAGCAGTCAACATTGTAATATAATCTTAATCACTATACAAACAAATAACTGTTTCAACAAAGAAACACAAAATGGCATATAGACAAAGTACATAAGCAAAAATGAAAGACAAGAACTCAAAATTGACCTTAGCACAATAACACAATGGCGGGATGTATAAGTACATGATATTTCATGTGAACACAAAATGTGTTGACTACAGGTTTGGTAATGTCCTCGTTGACGAAACGTCTACAACATTGGCATCGGCCAAGTGGTTGTAAAAACTCATCAAAGATATCAGGCTCATATATAGTTATATAGGACAGACGGGCGTTTCGTCTACATAGCACTCATCAGTGGCGCTAGAATAAAAAATTGAAAGGTCAAATATAATACGAAGTTAAAAAGCGTTAAAACAGAGAATTCTGAAAATAAACTTTTGTAAAATACGGCTAGACAATCAATGCCTGGGTTAGAAAATCTTAGTATTTCAAATATATCAATATTTTTCAAACAGTAGATTTACAGAAAATGAACATATCAATGAAATTCTATGTCAACACAAAAAGGGTTAACTGCTGGGCTAACCAATAAGAGTATGTTCGTTTCCTCACACAACATAAACTTGAGATAATGATAGTAATGTAGGTTTGACAAAACCACCAAATTATGATTTGTTCACCTGTTTGAAGGATTATAAAGTACACTTTGTATTTTTTGCCAAACTCAATGGTTGATCCTTGAAAACAAAAGCAGTGACACCTCTTCGTGCATGCAGAGAGATGCCACACTAGGAGACATAACAGTGGATATTATTTCCACAATAAGAAAAAATACTAATTACAAGGTTTGAACAAGATCTAAATAAGGACCATTTAGAGTCTTTCTACTCTATTTTCCACATGAATGATAGCATCCCTTTGACCCTTTTGTAAAATTACACTGCCCTTGAAATGTACAGTGAAATCTTTTACCAGAACATTATTGTAGGAAATGTAGAAATACCTGCTGTCACTGAGTATAATTTTATGACCACAATCTGAACTTTTATTATCATTACCAATTAATGTGTAAAGATGAGTAGTGAAAATATACCCAGACTGTTCAGATTAACTGTTGACCATGAAATGGCCATATCCATAAGAAGAGAGATGATAATCAAAGCACATTCACATTAAGAGGATCGAAGTATCCAAGTACCAAAATATTAATGTGTTAGAAGACATGATGCAAGATAACCACTGAGGATAATCAATGTGTGTGACAAACCACAATACCTTCTGCAAATACTTTTGCTGCTACAGCTGAGTCAGTACATTCCCAGAACCTTTTGAATGACTTTTAAGAATATACCCAAGACGTTCGTCAATTTAAAGAGACACTTGACCAATGCCAAGAATAATCGACCAAAGACGAGAAACAAGAAAAAGAGTTATTAGCCATATTATGAGAGTATTCTTTTTGTCAAAATTATATTAGACTGATCCATACGGTACAGCATTATATAGATACAATAGGAGACACAGCTCTAGAAAACAAGCACCAAGAAGGTTACCCCTGAGTCAAAGAAATGTATCAGAAGATGAAAGCAGATAGCCTTAGACCATTACACCACACGCCCACGTCAGTTCCTTAACAGCAGTCCTTTTTTTATTTTTTACAAAAAACAGACCATTATCAAGTAGCCATTGCGCCTGAAGATAGATTTTGTTACGAAGGGTTTTTTGAATGAAAAAGAATGATCAATGCTCCTGACCATCGAAAGTATATGAAGCTAAAAAAGACGCTGGCCAATCCAAAAAAATTAAAAGAATCCAGACGATATTTCTAGGAATCTGCTTTTTATATAGGAATTGTATTTATAAATCCAAGAGTGAGTTTCACATTCTTAAATGAGCTCTGATCAATTATCTAATTTTAGTTAAGCCCGCCCTCCTAGGGGAATTTAAATTGGATACTGATCCAAATGGTATCGGCGAAGGTGAAGTTTTGTCCAGTTAGAATAAATGACAGGGTAATCTTTGAATTTGTACTGATTGATAATTTAGTCTGCGAAAACATGGTTGATTTATTGTTTGAAATATGTTTCGAACGAGCTTCCAGTAACTACGAGTACTCTTAGATCAGTACTTTGTGTTTTGTCTATTGCATAAGTATTTCAATGTACCTCGTACCGATCCGACAGCCCTCGCCAACTGATTATTGTTTGTTAGGGGAATTTTGAGCGCTTACAAACATATTTAACCGCAGCATATTTTTGGTAGTCTGTCAAAAGACTTAAATTCAGTAGTTGTGGTTGGTTGCTGTATGAAATATTTGTATTTCGTTTATTTTGTCCTCAAAAAGAATTTATCTTCCCGTTTAAATGTTTCGCATTTGGTAATGCAGTTTTTTATATTGTATAGGTTTCGTTCATTGTTGAAGGCCGTAGGATGACCTATGATTGTTTACATCCTCGTCATTTGGTCCCTGGTGGATAGTTGTCTCATTGGCAATAAAACCAAATCTCCTTGCTTTTTATATTTCTAATTTTAACATGTCATTTGGATTAAGCTTGTTAGACTTTTAGTCCTCATTTTTGAGTTGTTCTTTTCAAAATTGAATGAACATAATGTAACATGTATGGACGTAGAGAACAGCACATATAAATTCACACAAGATGGTCATACCTTTCCTTCTGTTACTTTAGTTGCTGATACGTCCTTAGAAGTTTCGGCAAATCTCTGGTGACTTGTATCTTGTTCTTGTGATAATTCATATAATATGGCATCACAACTCACTGGAAATAATTTAATACAGAAGTAAAAAAATATACTTTATAGACATCTTATTCAAAAAAGAACAGTAAAAATCAGTGCTATAAAGATAACCTATAACGATTTTTAAGCTTGTAGACTTGTTCAAAATTTATTTATCAGAAGCAAACATGAGTACATTTCCTACTATGGGTCATCATGTTTTAATATCAGATGTCCTGCAAATATCCATTTTATAACTTGAATAAACGTTGAAGTTATGTTAGGTTTACACAGGTGCAGTAATTCTAAAACAAAAATTCCAAGAGTTGTTTTAATCTAGCTTCAATTAATACATTCCTCTTGTGTATGAAATTGAGAATGGAAACGGGGAATGTGTTAAAGAGACAACAACCCGAACAAAGATCACAAAACAGCCCAAGGCCACCAGTGGGTCTTCAACACAGCGAGAAAATCCCGTACTCGGAGGCGGGCTTCAGCTGGCCCCTAAACAAAAATGCATACTAGTTAAGCGAAAATGGACGTCACACTAAACTCCGAAACATATAAATGAACCAAAATTTAAAAAAAAAGCATACAAGATTAACAAAGGCCAGAGGTTCCTGACTTGGGACATGCGCAAAAATGCGGCGGGGTTAAACATGTTTTGTGAGATCTCAACCCTCCCCCTATACCTCTAGCCAAAGTAGAATAAACAAACACACAGCAAAATTCAGTTTAAAAGAAGTCTAAGTCCGATGTTAGAATAGGAAATAGAAGAAACTAAGCAAAATGACAATGATCAACATAAATTAACAAAGGACTACTAGCAGTTACGCACATGCTAGCTCCAGACCTCAATTAAACTGATTGAAAGAGTATGTCTTCATCATATAAAAAATCAAGCAATGTTCACTACAAAAACGTTTTTTATTGTCGTCTTGGTAAACAAAAAATCAACTACAACACATTATTAATTGTCGTCTTTGTTAGATTTATTTGTATATTAAGCAGGTTTATTTGAATTTTTAGTTAGTTGTGATGTATGCTTACACAATTTTGACTGCTGGATCCCAATTATTTTCACATTTACCTTTCATATCTGTTTGAGTTTCTCACCTACTTTTGTCAATATAACGAAACAATAAACACCTGTCGTAGAAGTGGGAGGTTAAGCTAGGTATTAAACCAGGTTTAACCCACCATTCTCCTCGGGAAATGTCTGTACTAAGTCAGGAATATGACAGTTGTTTTTCACTCGTTCCGTTGATTGATAACGTTTGATTTTGTCATTTTTATGGACTTCATCTTTTTGAATTTACCTTGGAGTTCGGTATTTTTGTTATTCCTTTTCACATTATGTAGACTTAATCAACAGGCGAGTGCTATTGACACAATACTGATTTTGATGAAGAACGATTGAAAATCACATGATTTACAGTCACCGGTGACCAATACGATGAATCTGTATCAACTCTTGTATTTCTGGTCGTAGATCTTAAGAAAATGCTCATAAAACATATAAGGCTTTTAATTTGGTACGTCAGATGTGCGTTTTGTTTACATAAGACTCGAATCAAAATAGTTGAATGTCATTGAAAGCCAAAACATTAAAAAAAAGTGGTCCAAAATACGGTTCAGGCAATCTAAGCCTGAGGTTTGAAAAGTATTAGTGTTCCGAATAAATCACTATTCTATAAACAGTAAATGAACACAAAATGAATAAATCAATGTTATTCTAAGTGAACACAAAAGTGCTGACTACTTGACTTCTGACCTGGTGATACCTTTGGGTACGAAATATTCACCATTCGAAGTTGAAGAGCATGTAAAGCCAAAAATCTCGAAGAGTACTTTTAATTCATTTCTTCATTTGTTTTCTCTTTTATCATTAATGTTCTGCAAATAAAGGCAACAGTAGTATACCGCTGTTCAATAGTCATAAATCGATTTAACTGAAACAAATCCGGATCACAAACCAAAATCGAGGGAAACACATCAACTATAAGAGGAAAACAACGGATCAACAGAAACACTGAACTGCTACAAAAACAAACACCAACATACATAGAAACGGACTATTTGATAACAACTGCCATATTCCTGACTTGGTACAGGACATTTTAAGAAAAAATGGTGGGCTGAACCTGGTTTTATGGCTAGCCAAACCTCCCGCTTATATGGCAATGTCAAAAATACCGTTAATATGACAATATTACGTGACAGGAATACAGTACAAATAAACGCAAGAACACTTAGGACAGAGAAATACATAAATAAATAATATAATAGTACATTACAACATGTTAACCACAGAATAACAACGGACACCTCCCATGTACACCACAATAGGATTATGAACTGTGCGTCACACGAATGTATCAACGCCACAAAAAGTGACGTCACAGGTAAATTTCTAAAAATAGAATATAAAATTGGGATTAAGTTTGTAATGGTGTTATTTTATGTATTTTTTAACCATTACAAGACTATTAATATAGAATTGTGTTAGTAATGGTGTAATTATTTGTATTTTCTAACCGTGTCGGTTTTTCTTCTAAATCAAAACTGTGTAAAAACAAATAAATCCTATACATATAGTTACAAGCAAGAAAATCATATATTACATGTAAAGTTCATTCTTATAAATCCTGCCTCAAATTATGATTGAAAGTCGTTTTTTAATTACCTTTTGGGCAAGACTTCCATTTGAACCCCACTGGTAGACTCCATATATAGAATGCACAGTAAAGGGAAGTTCAAGTGGAAGTCTTACCAAAACTTTTATTGTTTTCTTTTTTGTTTCTAAACAAAAGCATAATTTGTACTTTTAGGGTATATCAAAGAAATGACAATTAACAATAAACAAATTAGCAGAGGGGTCATTATTAATATTAGCAAAGATCAGCTATCTTCTTCAATTTTGAAATACATTGTGTAACTTTCATGTCTTGTTGGTCGGTATATTAAAAACTTGATTTTTCATTAAACGAGTATTTTTTTTAAACATTCACAATTTGATACACACTTTGATCGGTATCGGGTCCGTTTGCCCTAATAACATGTTCGCCCTGGGTTCGTTCGGCCATATAGTCCTTTGCCCTTGGTTCGTTCTCCTTACTTTTATAAAAAAAAAAACATATAAGTTATTAATGTTATTAAAATTTCATTCAGATATTAATATGGTAAATATTAGATAAAATATATATTTCTCAAAAGTCATCGAAATATTTTTTTAGATAATGCCTTGTTTTGGATAGATATAAGAAGATGTGGTATGAGTGCCAATGAGACAACTCTCCATCCAAGCATTAATTGGCTTCATTGTTACATATCTAGAATTTCTTTTAATGACTGTTGATTGTAATTTAGACTGCTGATTAGTATGATTATGATGTCTTTGATCTCACTGATTATTTTATAAATGGTCTTTGGGGGATAAATAACGAATATTAAATACATTTTTTTTCAATAAACGACAGCTTGGATTGAGTGATGATGTACGAATTGTTAGATATGAAAGGGACATTTTTTCGCAGCTTGGCTTCTTTGATCTCAAATTTGTTTTATTAAGTAATTCATGGTATAGAAATGTAGTATTTTGTTTTTAGCTCACCTGACCCAAAGGGCCAAGTTAGCTTTTCTCATCACTTGGCGTCCGTCGTCGTCCGTCGTCATTAATTTTTACAAAAATCTTCTCCTCTGAAACTACTGGGTTAAATATAACCAAACTTGGCCACAATCATCATTAGGGTATATAGTTTAAAAAATGTGTCCGATGACTCCGCCTGCCAACCAAGATGACCGACATGGCTAAACATGGAACATGGGGTAAAATGCAAGTTTTGTCTATTATTTTAAAAACCGTTATAGATAAAGAAAATGTAGAGCTCTACCAGTTGTCTATTTGCGTCAAAACTGTCAGGCGATTTTTTATATGAGCTATTAGCCTTACATGACAAATTTTACCATTTTTTCATTTTTGCCTATTACCTTGAAAATTATAATAGATAGATACTTTAAATTTCAAAAATGATCAACAAGAAAAGATCTACAAATAAGTCGAATGGTCTAAATCGTCAGTCGACTCCTTGTTAGAGTTATTCCCCTTTGATGACTATTTTTGCCATTTTTGTTTTTGTGTTTATGCCTCATATATTAAAAATTATAATAGATAGATAGAAGGTTAAATTAGCAAAAGTGATCAGCAAGACAAGATCTACAATTAAGACAATATAGAAGAAATTGTCAGACGACTCCTTATTGTCCTTTAATGACGATGTTTACCAATTAGTTTGTGTTTTGCCTTATATGATAAAAATCATGAAAGATAAATAGAAAGTTTAAAAACAATTTTGATCAGCAAGGCACGATCTACAAACAAGTCAAACTTTACTGATATAGTTCGTAGACTGTCACTCTTTATAGGAGTGATTGCCCTTAATTGAAGATTTTTTTACCCTTTTGTGTTTTTAGCAAAAATTAAGAAGATAAAGAGAAACTAAACAGACTAAATGATCAGCAATACAAGATCAACAAAAAAGAAATTTTTGTGATGAATTCTATTCTCGTCTACAATGTCGGAGAGTTTCCTTTGTTGACTATGCACATAGACCTAGGTGAGCGACACAGGCTCTTTTGAGCATTTAGTTTATTAGAATATTTCAATTCAGTGTTCTTTAAATTAGTAGTGCTAGGATATATCTGGTGCGTAATGCTGCTGGCTATTAGTAAGAGTTGGATCTTGTTATAACTATTAATGATTGTTTTGAAATTGTTAAAATGTATCAATAAAGATAAATACATACAGATAACTTGATTTTCAGTTGTTTTAATATATTAAATGTCTTGTATTCCTGTACACTTCAATGCAAATCAAAAATAATTATTATCTAGTAGCAGCATTACAATAAATTTGCGGCGACATTTTTAACAAACATAATAATATTCTAATCAAATAATTTACATTAGATAACAAGATAACAAAATAGAATAAAAAAAACCAGCTTGAGAGAACGGACCCAGGGCGAACGTGAATCAGTGT